AACATGGTAGACAACCTAGATTGGTACATGAATAGAAAGTACATGTTTTTCCCCACTTACTGTGGACATATATCACCTTGAGGAATCATTCTAAAAATGTTGATTCTGGTTCAGATCTTGGATGGGTCCTGAGATTCATTATTCCAAATGTGCTTCTACATAATAATATTGCTTTAGTGTTGAAATCATGCTTGTAATAACAAAGTTCCAGAATGCTGTGCACTCAGAGTTGTGCTACTTGAATGAAGATTTATGTACTGTTTTTAACTTTTGTGTTGTTGATATCTAGTGAAGTGACAAAAAAATTATTCCTTGAAATATTTTCTTGTTAATTATTAGGAACCTGGAGTATTGGTATTCTGTCTATTTCAGTGGTTGAAGAAGAGTCCCTATGTTTTGGAGATTAACTAAATAATAGAATAATATAATTATACTAGTTTGTCTTAAAAACCTAAAAGACTAACGTTTTTGTTGTAATAAAAATTGCTCTGCATCACAGCTGTTTTGTACAATAAAATATTACTTCCCAAATAATTAAATCCTATTTGAGCTCATAATATCAAATATCATTTAGGTGAAAGAGATCTATATGGTATTAACAGTTATTCATCCTGGGATAGAGAAACTTGAGTAATGTTGCATGACAAAACTAATTTTAAGCTGTCTGACAGCTTTATGAACATATCAAGTGGACTTACGTGTGAATTTATCTTCAAATTAGTATACTGATCATCTCTTTAGTACTTTCTCGGTTTGGTTGCATTTTAAATTTACATTATTTTTAGAGTTCCAGTGCACTGTGGCTATGGCTCTATCTTAGTGTAGACTAAGCTTAACATATGGGTTCAATCTCCAGCATAAACAATTTTAAAAGTTTACACAAGCTGTACTCCAGAAATGGGACCCAAGTTTTTTTCTTTTTTTCTTCCACTGGGAATTTAACCCAGGATCTTTGCACTACGCTGCATCACCCTCTTTTTATTTTTTCAGACAGAGTCTCATCAGGCTAAGCTAAAAGTTTGCATTCCCTTCCTCAGCCTCCTGAGCGCTGGAATTGTAACTGTGTGCTGCAAGTCCTAGCCCAAATATCTTTAAGCTCCATAGATGATTCCGTTTTGCAGCCTTGTTTGAGCACCATTACTTTACTATTAACCTTGAGATGAGGGTCAACTTTGCATTTAGTTTATAACTGTTAACACTTTTAATAAGTAGTTAACATACAGGATAGATTCATTTAATTGGCAGTAGATAGAAAAAGCAGATAGAAATCCTAGTTCTACTCTTATACAAACTAGCTTTCTAATCTAGAGAAAATTACTTAAGTACTTTGTAATTCAGTTGTTTCATCTATGAAACAAATAGGTAAATCTGGTAGAGTCCCTATTCGCTCCACAATTTATCATCTGTAATCCTAATCTTTAAAATACAATGTCAAAAACAAACAAATGTTAAGAAATTACTCCCGTTTCTTATTTTTTAAGAAGCCCATACAAATTATCAGTGAAAATGTAAGGCTTCCTTAACTTCAAATTGAACATAAAATATTAAGTTAATAACAGTCACGGTGTAGAAGAATGTAAATTACAGGTTCAGTGGGCCTGGTTTGAATTCTTTCTTCCTTCTAGTTTGTAAGCCTATAAGAAAGTTTTTAATCCCTCTGAGTCTGTTAGATTCTGTTTCTTTACAGGTAAAATTAAAATAGCAATATTTAGCTGGTAGGATTGATATAATTATTAAATAATAAAATCATAATTATCACATAGTGGTCAACTATTTATTTATCTGTTTATTTATTCATTCATTCATTTTTGATACCAAGAATTAAACTCAGTATCTTGTGCTTGCCAGGCAGGCATTTATGCCACTGAGCTGTCTGTCTAGCTGTGGTCAACTTTTTAAACTTGAATATGTTTTATATGGGTGAAAAGAACTTAAATTGTGCCATAGAAACCATAATAACAATTGCTAGTTACTCTTTATGATATTTCAGTGTTTCATTTCCCTTCAACAATTTGTTGTGTACATTTCACTTTGCATATTTAGCAAAATGAATATTCTAAACTGAGTGCTTTTTAATTAAGAAATTTTTCCAGGAATTGTCTTTCAGATTTTTCTTGCTTATTAGTGAAAAGAATCTGTGTTTCCTCATACGAGGACTTGGATGTTCTGAGTGAGCAAGTCCTTTTGCCTATGACAATACTGTTATTTTCTTTCAGGAAACTCTCATAGATTGGTGTGATGAAAAGGAGCTTAATTTGATATTAACAACTGGAGGAACAGGGTTTGCACCAAGAGATGTCACTCCAGAGGTGAGATAGTACATGCCTTTTTTATATTCAATTAACAAAATGTTTAATAGCATTAACAATCTTTTTTACTATTTTATAATTTTATGAATTTGCAAGGCAAAACTAGTGACTTGTGATTGTAAGAATATAAAAGTTTGGCTATGAAAGAATTACTATAAAAAGACTTCATTTTTAATTTGGAACTAAACTAGAAGTGATAAAATACAAAGAACAGTCTGCTGTTTTAGAAGTTAATCCTTCATTTGCTTGGTTATCTTCAGTATCAGTTGAACTTCAGGCACATTACCATGGGAGGTACTGACTGCTATCGTGAGATCTGTTTTGATGTGTTTTTCACTGCAATTCAAAATTTGATCTATCTTCCTTTACTTGAGTTGCCGTTATCATTTGCCTCACAGTATAGTAGGATAACTGCAATAGAATATTTAGAACAGTTTTATTATACTAGTAATGAAATAAGTATTGTTTTCTATAATTTTCAATATGAACTATATTTAATTGTGGGATTTAATAAACAAAAAAACCAAAATTATCTAGACTTCATGCCACATGAAGCACCTTCAACCTTTGTACAATAAGAAAAATGAGGGAAATAAAAGTAAGTAGTATTCACTAATACAGGAGAAAAAGGCACTTTTTTTAAAGGAAGCTGTAAACTTCACATGTCATTTTGAAATCACTTGTCAACTTGTATTACTTCTTGTTATGTCATTTACTTTACCTTTCAAAAAGAGCAATTCTTGGCTTAATTTCAGCTTAGTATTAACTGTGTCCTACTTTCAATTCAGTACACTATTTCAACAACCTTGTTAACAGTAAGGTACTTTTCTCTGCATTCATTAAATAATTACTGTCCTTTTGTTAGCACAGTAGTTTTGAAATTTTAGCTTGCATCAGAACAAACCAGAGGGCTTGTTAGAACACAGATTGCTAAGCCCCACTACAGTTTCTATCTCAGCTCATTGGCAAGAGATCCCTGAATCGTACTTCTCACCCACCCAGGCGGTACAGATGGTGGCGATTAGAGCTGTACTTCTAGACTTTGAGAACCACTGCTCTAGTATACTAAAATGCAGTTTTCTAAAACAAGGATAAAATATTTATTATGCTTTGTAAATATATATTTTAAATTATCATTAGGATTATAAATAAGATAGATCTACTGTTAAAGCAATCAGAAGAGTTGTAGTAGGAGATGATTAAGTTTAACCATATAAACAAGGTCATCCTACTTAATTTATATAGTTATCAATGGATCCTAATAGGAGATGGTCCTTTGGCAATATTTATATTTTTCATACTGTAAAATAACTCACAAAATTGAGAAAGAAGACATCTTCTGCAGAGGTATATTTGTGTTTTGTTGTATTTGTTTTGTCTTGTTTTATTTGTAAACAAACTAGCTCTAGATGTAAAGGTGTGGATTTTTTAGTTTGGGTGTTACATTAAGTCAGTGATCTTCAGTTTATTTAACCCTATTTTCTGTATGATGGTTTGGTGTTTTCATAGTCACTCTTATATCAACAAAGGTGAAAAAAGTTACCATAGATTTCATTCATAAATAACAGTATTATTTTTAATCATATGGAAATAATTCACATTATAAAATACCTTATATCCTGTGTACTTCGAGTTAACTCCAAAATGCTAAGCTAAAAATTTAAATATTTGAATTCTAGCTCTGCTACCTGTTAACAAAGTGATCATAAGCCACTTTTGTTCACATTCATTATAAGAAATGTGTGGAAATTTTTCTTATAGCTATCATTTCTCCAACTTCCCCAGACACCAAGTGCCCTTCAGTACATTTCAGCTCAATTCTGACACTGCCTACCTAGAGTTAGATCAGATTCTACAGGTGTAAAGACTATCTTCACTTCAGAAGCCAGTCAAAGTACTGGGTCTATGGTTTACTCACATTTCTGTTCTATTATGCTACAAAGTCAGTAGGTTTCCCACAACCAGGTGCCATCAAATTTGATAATTATGCTAGAATTGGTCACAAAACCCTAGGACATACTTTAATCTTTTTACCAGTTTATTATCAGGATGCACCAAAGGAACAGCCAGGTGAAAGCCAAGTGAAGGGCAAAATATGGGCAGGAAGATTTGTGGGTAGATTCTTTGCCCTTTTCAGATGCAATATCAGCATATGTGTACCCATTAGTGAGCTCTGTGAATCTTACTGTTCAGGACTTTCCTATGGAGCCCAGTCTGTAAGTGAAGGCTTATGCCTTCAGTGAGTGGGACTGAAGTTTCAACCCTGACAACACTTGGTCAAAGGTGGTTTGCACTGTCATGAGGCTATCTAGGGGTCCCATTAGTTTTAAGGTATTTCACATGGATGGTAAAAGTTACTCCCATCACTCATGAAATTCCAAGGATTTAAGGAATTCTATGTCAGGCACCAGCGACACAAACCACATATATGTTGGTATCAATTAACCACTCTATGTCTTAGTTTCCTTAAAAAAAGGGAAATAAAAGTATCTATTTACCAAGATAGCTATGAACAATAAACAATGTAGTTTAGTTTTTTTTTTTTTTTTTTTTTTCATGTATTTGGTGCAGGGTGTACAGGGTCTCACTATGTAGATCGGACTCATAGTGATTCTCCTGTTTTCAGCCTCCCAAGCACTGGGATTACAGGTGCATGCCACCATGCCCAGTCTCAATCACCATCTCAGTGTGCCCTGGGAATGGGGCCAGCAAGGCATGCTGGGTATCGAGCCCCAGCCTCTGGGCTTTGCCTAAGCAGGCACTTTAGTCCACTGAGCTATCTGGCTGGCCTTTAGCTTAGAATTAATTGGCAATTTAGAATTAACTTACATAAGGATTTTTTTTACTTGTTGCTATATAACTACCAAATGGACAAATGCAATCACTACTTTTAAAGTTTCTATATACTCTTCATAATCTTATTTAATTATTTTCTTAATTTTAATTAAGCTTTATATTTTATCTTTTCATTGTCCATATAAATCAAAGATCTTGAAATTTATTCTGCTAGGTTTTATTGGGGGGTACTGTTCTTTGGCAAAAATCTGTGTCTACGGCCTTGTATGTTTTATTATAACAGAAATTCAGCAGGTTTTTTTTCTGTAAAAGTTTCTCAGTTACTTGAAAATGGTAGAGATGCTCTTGTAACATGTCATAGATACTCTTGTATAGCTGTAGTAACTCCCTGGGTAAAATAATATTCTGATTTTTTGAAATAAATTCATATTAAACATAAACTTTTATACTTATTTTTAAAAGAGGCAATTTATTTGATAACTTTTCCTTTAATGGGTTTATCATTCATGTTTTACATACAGGCATACATATATATGATATGAATATCTATGGTAAAAATTTATATAAATGTTAAACCTTTAAAAAATAAATAAAATTAAGCAATAAGGGCCATGGAAAATGATTTTACTCAGTTCCCATTTCCTTTTACACTTAGTTATTTGTGATTCTTAGAATATTTGAGTATAACATTGGCATGTCAGATAGGAGTTAAGAAATATAGTCATCGACCTGAACTATATAGTATTTTTCTTTGTCTTCAACAGTTGTACCTACAGGAGAGGAAACTGCTTTGAGACATACTTACTCTGTACTGCTTAGAATTGCAACATTTTTCATAGGACTAGAAGTTCTTAATAGAGCATGCAGTTATTAATTGGACAAATTAAATTTATCTAAAGCTTATCCTTTACATTTATAATGTTTAACAGTCAATAATTATTAATAATTGATTTTATCTACAAACAAAAACCACTTATTTGTGGAATATGTATAACTGGGGGAAGATGATAAAGTGAATCAAATAAAGCAACTTAAAATTATTATCAGTGGAGCCAAGAATATAGCTCAGTGGCACAGCATCTGCCACCTACCTACCCGGCAACTGAGAGGTCATGAGTTTGAGTCTCAATATATATATATATATATATATATATATATATATATAATTTTCAATCTGTGGATAGGAATTACAAAAATTTTAATTGCAATTTAAGTAACTTAGATTGATCAAAAATTATAAATTGTAATTTGATCAGTTTAGATTTCTGTTGAGATTTAGTAGAGAGGAAAATTAAGTAACAAATTTAATAAAGTTTATTTTGTTTACAATTGTCAAAGAAATAACTCAGAATTTATTTGCCTAATGAATTTATTTCTAGTTTTAGATTGCATATCATAGAAGATGGTTCAGCCATCTGATGGTGGCATGCCCATTAGCTTTCTTTCCTGTATAAGATGCTATCAAAATTTACATATACTAATATAATAATCTATACTCTTCTACTTCTTAGGTGTTTATTTTATTATGAAAATCTTTAATTTTAGGAATATATTTTGTTTCTCTGATCTGATAAAGATTGGCTAATTTATTGGCACTGCTAAAATCCAGGTCACTATGAAATTCTGTACCGCATAAGAACTGCTATATTAATGATCTCATGTTCAATTATTATTTGTAATTCAAAAAGTATTATTACATAAAAA